ATTGGCCAATCAAAATTATTAATTTTGTGTTTGTCGATCGTCGTACGAATGTGATAAAACGAATGTCCACTATGCTCTCTACCTCTGTTTCCAATTTTTCTTGTTCTGCTTCTAATGCCTTAATTTTCTCTGTGTGTTTTTGATTTTGCTTAGATACTTTACCTTAGTTTTAAAAGTTAATTCACTCCGACTACTAATTAATTCATCCAGAGAAAGATGTTGAAGGTCATAATAATCATAACAACTTGGTTTGATTGAATCACATCCTTCATAACCTTTTTCTAAGATTTCTTTTAGGGTTAAATTATCTTCAATTTTGCCTTCTCTTAAATAACTCTTTGCTTTCCTCAGAATTTAATTTGATAGGGTTAATAAAGATATTTCTTTTAGCATTATCTCTTGGTAAAGTTTCATTGTTTGCTTATAATAAGAAAGATAACTATAAGCATTAAAAATTACTCTTCTACGAGCTACTTCAGTAGGAAATATCATACAAAAATCAGACCAAGTTTCTCCATAGTTATGAATTTTCTCAATAACCTCACCAACTACATCTACATCAGGATTGTCAGTAATATGACTTTCGCTTGAAACAGTAGCTATTCATTGTCTAATTTCTTCATTATTCAACTGTTTAAATTGTAAGGGCACTTTAAACTTTTCAGTTTCTTGATCTTTATCAGCTAATTGCTTTTTTTAATGTTTTGATTTTTGTTTAATAGTTCTTTGTTTGCTTGTTGTTGTTCTTTTAAGATGTTTGTCATGATTTTCTTGTTTGTTCCATTTTTTATTTATTTTTTTAATATACTTATATCCTTAGGGTATGTTAAGTATATAATTATTTTAGTACTTTTTTATTTTAAATGTGGAAAAAGCAAACAATATTTAACAAAAGATTAAACTTATTAAACATAATGACAGTAAGGAACAAATTAACAAGTGATGAAGTCATAGAGGTGATTCTATTCTAAATATTTTATTCATTGCCAGTATAGATTGGTCTTGGGCAAGTAATATCTTTGTATTCATCACAAATGGGCAAATATTATGATAAAGATATTCTTGTCTTTTATAGTCCAAAGGAGGTGGTGTTAACACTAAAATAGATAAAGATTTAATTTCTTCAAAAATATCTGCTTTCTTAGTTTTCAATAAATTGAATTCAGCCAAAGGTCCATTAGCAACTTCTTGAACTTTTACTGTACCAAGATTAGATGCTTCAAAAAGAAAATGTTGACATTTCTGTAAAATTGGTAATTTCTTAAAATAAATTCCCAGAATAGATTTGATATCCAAGTATTGAAAACCTTTTCCACCTTTGTAGCATTGAGTTTTATTCAATCCTGCTGGACTAGACTTTTTTATTACCTCAACCACATGATCCAAACAATCTACTCTTGTTTTTCTGTAGAGCTTCTTTATTAAACCAAAATTACCATCACATTTGAATTTAGTATGTCCAGGAATCATGAAATTCAGTTCAATATTTCATAATAACCACAAATTACTAAATCTAAATAAAATCAAATAGTTACATTATTTTTATTTTGTCCACCAGCATTATCACAAGTAATCTTTAAATGCTTTTCACCTTTATTCAATTTCTTAATTCCATCAAAGATCAAACTAAGAGTTCCATTAGGACCTTTTCCTATAATTTCATCTTCATTAAGAACATAATTAATTTGTTCCCTTACTGCTTCATCTTGAATACCAAATAAATGAACTTTACATGGACTAAGATAATAGATTTTACTTACTTGTTGATCTAAATGTGGCACATGAACATTTTGGGCTCAATCATAACTATAATGAGCAGTAGCATCAATACTGCAATATTGTGTTTTACCCTTGGAATAATGTTGATCAACTAGTTTTCTTTGTTCTTCTGCTAATTTGGTATTTTTATTATAATAATTACTTTCTAATTTGGCCTTGGATAGATGTTCTTTAAATTTTTTAAGCAAATCTTTAGCTTCTTCTTCTTGGTGAGCACTGTAATGTAAACCATTTTGGAGATGTTGACAAGTATCACACAAGTCAGTCCTTGGACTCATAATTTGAATCTCTGGTGTCAATTGATGTCACAACTTCCTGAAGGCATCATATTTTAATGATTTCAATTTGTTATTTTCTTCTAGACCAGCCAGAAAATCTCTGTGGACCGATTTATAACTCATTTCAGCTGGTAAGAATGTAACTGATTGAGTTATTCTATTGACACTTCTTCCTGGACTTGGTAATCCATGAACTTCTGCATAATTTTCTAGAAAATTCTTTACAAGTTACCGAATTTACTATGTTTAGCCCTAAATGACGTGTTACACACAAAAAAGTTAATATCAAAAATAGACAAAATAAAAATTTGAAAATTTATTGCATTTCCATTTTTGGAGAATTTGAAAATCTACACGACCAATAAAAAGTTGTGGGACTAAATGACTTACATCATATGTGACGTGATGTTGATCAAATCTCTATCTTTTATTCAAAAAATATCAACATGTCTTTTTCTAAAAATAAAAGAAAATTCGAAAGCTCCATAATAGATCTAAACATGTAAGTGTCATTTATTTGAAAAGAACAATGGTGGTTACAGTTGCCACCACTCATCACTCTAAAGAATAGTGGTTGTCATCATCACTCTTGTTTCGCTTAAATTAATTTACATTTGTATTATTTCTTAGGAATAGTGAAAAATGTCCTTGTAGAAGCATTGATGATACTGAAGAGTAAAAAGTAAACAATTTTGATTTAATGGCAAAGTCAAATCAATTAAAAATAATAATTAATTTGCTGAAACTTTGTTCTCCTGGTGCAAATAATTATTTCAATGATTTTAAGGACTTTTTCACTAATAACAAAGGATCTGAAGAAGATCTGTATAAACAGATTGAGACACTAGAAAAAGAATATGCCAGAATAGAAGGTCGTATTTCATTTTTAAAAAAAAATTAAATGAAGAAATGAATATAAATGAGTCATTATTAGAAGAAAACGAAGAACTGAGAGAACAGTCATTACAATGTAAAATTTGCTTAGAAAAGATAATTACTCATTGTTTTTCACCATGCCATCATTTGGTGGCATGTGAAATATGTGCTTATAATTAGATAATGTTGCACTAAGATAGAATCATTTATAAGAATCTACTTTTAGACAAATTTATCTCATTTAATACTTTAGTTTTTTAAGTTGTAGCTAAGAAAAAATATGTGGTATGCAGATTATTTTAAAACAAAAACTATTGATCCCTGTTTCTTGGTAATACCAATGTTCACTTTGTTGGGTTTTGTTGCAAGCATGCCCCAAATTATATACAATGATTCAGACAACGAGACCTTTTGTGAGTCAATAATTGATGTAGTGAAAATTTTATTTTATATAAAAAACATTGCAAAGAAAACTTTGAAACAATCAAAAAAAAAATAGAAAATTTGCCTTTTAAACTTAATTTAGATTTAGAAAAAACTGTTAACAAAAAACATATGATAGTGGTTAGATTTTTTTCTGCATATAGAAATATCATAATAATTAATTAAAACTTGATAAGCCGTCAAGGTAATTAGAAGTTAACTTCAAACATTTGAATGTTTATTTATAATTTTAACCATATAATATATATAATTAATACACTGTGAACATCTGAGGACATAACTGTCTTCCATTTTACAAGTTCTATATCCCAAGAGAATTAAATTATTATTATTATTTAAAATAAATAACATCCATCAGAGTATCATAGTAAAACAATGCAGCCTTTTAAGAGAGGTAGGTATCTTTTGACACAAGATCTCCTAAATATTATTATTATTATTATTGAGATAATGCTTGTTACACGGGCAAAATTTGGACATTTTTACCCCATTTTTCTTCAACATAGAATATATAAAAGTAAAAAGCAACATTATCAAAGGTTGTAAGGATAACAAAGGAGCCGGACTGTTTGATAAAATTTCATGCCTATATCTTTTAAAATGGTCCCAAGATAGCAAATTTTATTTATAAGGTGTGACCTCATACTCGATTATAACTGTCCGGGGGCCCTGCTTTGTTGCAGTCTACCCCATATTAAATAAGTGTGTACTAATATAAGTTGGTAATTTAAAAAAGATGGCGGAAACAAGCTCAAAAATCCCTGTGACAGTTTTCACAGGATTCCTTGGTTCTGGTAAAACAACTATTATTATTTCTTTATTGAAACGTGTTCCAAAGAGTTACAAAATTTGTTTGTTAAAAAATGAATTTGGTGACATGAAAGGTAATTGTCTCAAAAATAATGATAATTAATAGTTGTTTTAAATGAAGAGTAATTGATATATTTATTTTACAAGTTGATAGTGAGCTGGTTCGTGAAAGTAATATTGAAGTCCAAGAGATGTTAAACGGTTGCCTTTGCTGTGTTCTAGTTGGTCAAATGAAAACAGCTTTATTGGAACTTAAAGGTTAAATAAATTCTATCATTATTATAATATCCATGTTGTCATACTAATTAATATATTATTTATAGAAAAATACAATCCTGATCGAATAATCATCGAAACAAGGTACAAATAATACAAGAATAATAATAATAGTCGTTAGCATTTTATTGTTATTATTAATTTTCAACATTACTTTGTGTGTATATTTTTAGTGGTTCGGCATTCCCAGGTTTTGATTTATCAAGAAAAACAAATCATCATAATATTTATATATATATATATAGTTTTATTTATTTATTTATTTTTATTTATAATAATCACTATCAAGCACCAATTGCATTACAAATTCGCGAGATGAATAATAATGGGTTCATATTGGACAGCATTGTAACAGTTATTGATTGTGAAAATTTTAGTGGTTATGAAGATACAAGTTATACAGCTAAGATGCAAGCTCAATATACCGATGTGATTTTATTGAATAAACATGAATTGGTTAGTATTCACATTGATAATTATTACTGAATATTATCATTAAATGTTAATTATAATTATTAGGTTGATGAACGTAAACTAGACATTGTAATAGATCATGTCAATGATTTGAATACTGATACACCTAAGATCAAATGCGAAGGAAAAACCGGCGTATCCATTGATTTGATCTTTGGCCTTGATACAAAATTATTTAATTCAATTACAAGTAGCAATGACAACAACAAGAAGGAAAAAAATAGTAAAGATGATAATACAATATTAAATTATAGAGAGTTAATTGATGAAAATCATCACGAAAATGAGATTGATTTAATACAAATATTTATTAGTCACGAAGTAAGAGGAAGAGGAGAAGTAATAGAAGGAGATGATGATAACAATGATAATAATATATTTACCAAGAAGTATTTCATTAATTTTCTTAAATCTTTATCAAAAGATGACGTTTATCGATTAAAAGGCTTTGTAAGATTAATTAACGATGATGATGAAGGCAATGAAGGTAATGATGATGAGGAGAAAGATGAAGTTAATAATAGTAACAATAGGAATGACAAAAAGCAACTTTATATTATAAATCATGCCTTTGGTAGATATACTTTTACACCAATAAAAAGATCAAATATTTCTTCTTTACTTAAAGATGACGATGATAAAGATGATGATAATAAAGATGATAAATCTTTTATTAAAATAACAATAATGGGTGTCGATTTAAAATCACATTTAAATAATATAAAAAAAAAGCTTTATATTAAAGAAAATGAGGATATTAATAATAATATTATTAATATTAAAACTTATTTTTGTCATAAAAATATTAATTAACTAATAATAAATAAATAAATAGGATATAGAATTATATATACAGAAAGATAAATTACATATATTTAAATTATGATAAATATAAATAAATGAATATTATAGTTGTTTTTTTATTTTATTTGAATGAATTATGCATATATATCAAATGAATCAGAAGTGATTATTAACTAATCATTTATTATCTTCGACATATTTCTTTTTATAAATCCATGAATTTCCCAAGGTACCGGCACCCTGCGTATCAGCCATGCGATAATATTTTGCAGCTTTTTTCATATCCTATAATGGTTTAAATCAATAATATTTAATGATAATATCATTATATAATCTAATCAGACTACAATAAATAGGCAATAAGTACCTTTTTGACACCCTCGCCATGTAAATAACAAAATGCTAAATCATTTTGTGCATCCGGATCGCCAAAATTTGCAGCCATTTCGAAATAATGTGCCGCCATCTGTTTATTCTTTGCAACGCCCCAACCATGACGAAAACATATACCTAAAATTCAATTAATTTTAAAAAAAATATAAATACAAGAAGAGTATAAAAAATATATAAAATAATTCTTGCAAAATTTTTATACCTAGTTCATAAATTGCCAATACTAATTCATGACGTGCTATAGTTGGATTTGCTTCAACTGTAGCTTGTAGATCAGATATTGCAGAATTTGCAGCTTGTCGTAAATATTGTACAGCAAGCATTGGATCAGGTTTACATCCCTATATAATCAATAGTTGAATTAATAAATGAATTATTTAATAATTATCATTGCTAATAACAATAATAATAATCAACGTACCCAACCATGCCTTAAGGCTATACCATACAAGAAAAGACCTAAAGGACTATTTCTATCAGCAGCCATTCTAAAATAATAAGTTGCTTTCTCTAATTCATTTGATTCATGAAATTTTATAGCCATTTGTATGTATTCATCTGCTTCATTTAGATTTTCTGTTGTGTTTTGAGAATTTTTGGTCGTTGGTTCGCTTTTATTCATAATCATTGCGTCTGTATTTGCGTTTAATGTTGAAGCTGAATATACTTTATTATTTGGTACTAATGAAGAATTCTGTTGTTGTTGAGATGGTGCTGAAGGTAGGAGTATAGGATTAGATTTTAATTGATTGGTATCTGAATCAAATGTATTTTTGTTATAATCTGATGCTCGAAATAATTCAACAAGTGTTGGATTTGCAGATGGTGGCGAAGTCGATATATAGTTATTATTATTATTATTATTATTATTATTATTATTATTATTATTATTGTTATTATTATTATCTAATAATACAGTTGACGTTGCTATTGAACGACGCCTATCACTTTTTTGGTTGCTGTCGTTTTTTTTATCTAATAATTTATTACTGGAATCAGAACGACGAAATTTTTTGGTATTTAATGGATTTGATTTTCTTTTATCTCCAACCGGCGAAGTTGAAGAATTTGGTTTAAATAGTCGCTTAATTTTATTCATAGTTAATTTATTTGGTTTATTTATAAATTAATTTGATGTTATTTGATACATATGGTGAATGGGGAGTTATTTTTCATTAAAAATAGGTAACGGAGTTTATTTTTATTTATTTATTGTTATTATATATGGAGCGAGTGGTTAATTTATAGTGCAGATAATAAATACGGTTAAGTTATTTTTAAAAGTTGCTGGAAAAAAAAATAAAATAAATAGGGAATAATTTTTTTTTTTTTTTTTTTACAAAGTGGAAGATTTTGATCATTTATATCATAAAAGTTTTTATTTATATAGTTTTATATAATATATATGTATTATTTTTATATTAATACCAAATTAGATATTTTTATTAGAAAAAAATAAATATTTAGAATAAACAGGAACAAACTATAAACACTGTAATCGTGCAAAAATTTATTATTATTGCTATATGTAATATGTATGATGTGTGACGAAGGCGATGAAACAACGGTTTTACATTTTTTGCATGGTTTATTTTACTTATTATAAAATCAATTTAAAAACCACGCGGTGGGCTATATATATACAACATCGCTTATTATTACTATTATCGTTGTGTTTTTATTTATTAATCTTTGTTTAATAAAAAAAAATTTTTTAAAATTTAATAATATGTTATATGTAATGCAAGCCCTGTAAATCCTATAATAATCCGAATCTAACATTTGCATATTAATATATGTGGTGTATTGTTTAAAAAGCATTGTTGTTAAAAAGCACGCTCTTCGCTGGATAAGAGACTCGATCCCCAGCACTATTTTACAAAATGATGATTATTATTATTAATTAGTAGTATTATTAATCTTTGAGGGTTGAATAACAGTTTTTTGTCGATCGTTTGATTGTTAATTTTCGTTCCTTTTTTTACTTAGCTTGTTTTCTTTAATCACCGACTTCTTATTTCCGACATCCGACACCCGACATCCGACAATTGCAATTTTTTGACGATGATGCATATAAACTTTCCCGATTTAGTTCCGAGAGTAACACTTTACCAAAACAAAATAATACTTGGGATTTCATCTATTTGTTCATAAATAAAAACCGGGCTATTACCTGTGTGGTTTGCCTAAAACTTCTTTAAAGCTTCCACTTTGGCAGTCATTAAATTGACCAATAAGAAGGCAAAATAGATGTAAATCCAGTTTAAGGGATAATATTTACTAAATTCATTTGTGAAACTAGCAATCATTGAAACAACCCTTTCTCCCAAACGGTCGTGTGACTTACCGCACAAATTCTTTATTAAGTTTTCAATAGAGCCCAAATTTGGCTAATGCTGGGAAAAATATTTTTGCAAAAAAAAATCTTTGACTAAAGTCTTTGACAATCAAAAATGTAATCCCTCACTTTGTGGGACGAGACGGAAGGAGAGAAAAAAAGAAGGTAAAAAAATATAGAATATATATATGTATTTCTCCGGGAATTGTGAGAGGTCACGCAAAAACAATTGGGTTGCAAGAATTTCTGGGCGGTCGAATTTTTTAGTAGGAAAACTCTTAGTTGAGGTCCCAGACGATTTCGTTCAAGGGTTTCTACAAAAAAGTCTAAAACACAAGCCTTTTCGATTGATTTTTATTATGATGTTACCGTAGATCTTTTCTTAATTTGATAATGAATAAATATTTTTCATTTATTCGAAAAATTCTTTTTTTAAATCTTTTTTTATATTATAAGTAGAATTTGATCTGCACTGTGCCCAATTTAAAAATAACAATATATCATCATCTTGCATTTAATTAAGTCATTCTATTTTCTATATACAAAAATCAATAGGAATATTTTTCGCGTGGTTATTCGTGCTTTTTATAATTTTATTGGTTTATTGGTTTATTGGGTTTTGAAAGAAAGTGTTATTATCTATTTCTGCCTAATGTTAAATTGTGCTACTATTTTTTAATAATAAATCATTTTAAAATGACAATTATTCTTCCACATGTTCAAATATTATGAATGATTATAATACTTTTCAAAATAGAATGAAACTAGAGGCAGAATTAGAAGCTAGAGTTGAAAAAAATTAAATCTTTTTTTTCGAAAATAAGGCTTCATTGATTCTGGTCAGCTTTAAATTATTTTAATAAATTTACTGCTGCTTATGTTTAATAACTGATATTACGTTTGGCAATTCCATTATTTTTCCTATAAAATTGTTTTCAGTAAAATATTCGAATCATTTGATCGAAATTCATGAAATTTATAGAATTATCTGAAATACTATTATTATTCCTCGTTGGTTCAATTTCACTGAATTATTTGTTTGCCCTTTTTAAACCATACAATAATCATTTTTTCCGTTCTTCGACATTTTCAACATCATTTCTTGTTGAATGATTGTCATATGATGTAGACGTTGTTATTTCACATTCTATAAATGGTAATGTTTGTATCAATTTTGCTTTAATCTAAGGCGTAGCTAACAGCTCACACTTTCTATAGCGGATGATTTGGCTTAAGAAAAATGTCCGTCATAGATAGAATCCGTTATGGACAGTAATGATTATGATTTATAAGTTTCGATACAACGTTTGGCAGACTTCCGGGCCTTTCCAAGTTGTATGATTATAGAACACAACAGCTAAAAATGTATTTATTATATTTTCGAATTTTTTGAAATTCATAATCATGTATGGCTGTAATAGAATTTACACAAATAGAATATATGAAATATGCCGAATAAACAAAATCTCAATATTTAACAATAAAATTTAACTAATTCTTATCTAATCTATTAAATATTTATCCCACCGACCAAAACTGTTAAATTCGAGCATATGATATTTTGATTATACTTTTTTAAACTTGTTATGGTAGAGTAATAGCAAAGGCTTGTTTCCAATCTATCAAAACTAAAAATAGATAACCTACAACATCTTATTTGTTACACCAAGTTTAATATTAAAAAAGAAAATTTGCAATCATCTGATAAAGTAATAACTTCAAGAAAATTTAAAAGCATTTTTCATCAATATCAACTGACAAACTAAAGCAGAAAATTATTATATTTGGTTGGTGATGTTCTAAAAATGACCTTTGAACCAAAGATATTCCCATTTCCAACCTAATGCATTATTATATCAAATAGATAAGGTGTATTACTATTTTGTTAAGTTTAGATGACTTATTTATAACCACTAGTTTTGTATATATATAATTTTTAATGGATCCAAATTGAGCATCCACAGATGAATTTTGTATCATAAGATATTCTCATACAACCCAGCCAATGTTGTTTACTATTTTTATTTCTGTTACACTATTTATAAAGAGTAAAAGTTATCTAAAACAACAAATTCTTATTATTATAACATTCCAGAGAGTGTGTTAACCAATAAGTTTTATAATTTACGACTCTATCTTCAAGACTTATAGGTTATATTTTTTTGGGGTTAAAAACTGGTTGAGCCTTAGCATTGTCTAAAAAAAATTTGGGCTAATTAATATGAAAGCGAACGGTCGCGCGGATTATCTAATAATATAACCAATCATGCTACAAAAGAATACCAAAAAAGGAAAAAAAAATTATACACTGCTTAAATTTATCAAATATGTATAAAATTGCAACCAATTGATTGATATGAATTAAAAATAAGTTAGTGTGTTACCATCACAAAAAAAAAATTTTTTTTTGCATACCTAAGAATTCACTTGGTGAACAATAAAATATTGACAAATAGACTTACATTGATAGGAAAATTTTTTTCACAAAGATTTCAACAACCATTTTTATAAATACTTGTCAAATATTACGAAAATTATTGTAAAAACTGTGCCATGCGAAATCTTTGTGAACTTGGTTTTTTCTATTTTTCAAGGCTTCTTTCTGCTATTTGGACCACGGATTATATTGTAGTAATAGTAGTAATAGTAAAGTCGACATTTGACCGTTCAATGTAAAGCGAACAACAAAACATTATTTATTCGTTAATTTTCTTCACAGCTTCTCTTAATGGTGTTGAATTAGGGCTAGAGTTTTCTTATTATCATTTTTGGTATTCTTCTTCTTTGAAAATATTTGCAATTTCTATAAACGATTTAAACAAGTTTCTTTTTTATTGATTATTCCCAGGATTTGTGTTCATAGAGGCTTTACAAGCAGCTATTTCATGAGTAGAATTACTTTAATTGATGAAATCCCAAACCAAGGTGTAATATGTTTTTTTCCTCATAAATATAATTATTAGTTCCAGTTGTATATTCGTTGAAGATCAGTTAGATAACTGTTCTCCAGAACTGCAAGTTATTTGAACGATCGTTTCTATTAAATAACAATGTTGATCGTAGTATCGACAAGAATTATATTATCGATTTTTGTCTCACTCATTATTAACAATATTATCATAATCATTTATAATCGTTCCCATTTTTATTTTATTTAAGTTTTGACAAGCATTTAGGTCGAAATATATTCATCTAGGTCACTTGATTTGCCATAATACTGAAACATGCCTGAAATATCTAATATCCGTTGAAATGTAAGATTTACGAAATGTATATAAATATGATTTAAAATAACGCTGACTATTTGCAAGATACGCGATCAGTTCCTTATCACTCATTGATAAATATTATCTGCGGAGGGTAAGTTTTAGAATGGGCCATTTTCAACCAATTATTTACCCCAAAACCTATATAATGAATATACTAATCCCTTTTATGCACCAAAAAAATATTTATTTTAATAATTAATTTATGCATTTTGACAACAGTTATGCATTTTGGCGTCATTTAGACATCTCAACATAATTTTAGATTTTCGACAGCCTAGATCTCGAATGAAAACAGGTGCTCAAAACATTTCGGCCGACAAATACATTCAAACTGTTCCCTAATCAATATCCAGATAATCTTTTTGTCCACAAATTATGCTTCTTCTAAAAAAATATGGTTTTTTTAAAAAAACTATTCGTTCAAAAAGAATTGGATCGAGTTTTGTTCTTTGGGCTATCAACACCGCTGAACAGGTGTTCACTTGGGATAGAAGTGACAAATATTTTCTTGTAGGAAAATTGATTTTTGGTTTTTCTACCAGATGAACGGATCCTTTTCCCATTCTATTTCGTCCAACACGCGAGATAAGCTGAAACCCATGGTTATATTTAATTTTAACTTAAAAGACAAATCATTCATTATTTCTTTATTAAATGATATAAAATTTATAATTATTGAGCGAGTGTGTGAATATAATCGTAAAATTCTAGCACACTCATTACAGATGATAATAATAAAGTTCTGGATACCATTAACCCGTGTCACTTAATTCTTATGTTTAGTTTTTGGCAAGATTAGTAAAAATGCGTTATTTGATTTCTTAAAATGCTTCCGTTATTGTTCTGCTGGCTAGTGCAATTGCTCTCCAACTTTTTTATTTGAGAAAGGTTCGTATATAGTTGGAGTCAGCTCAAAATGTAGCACAAGGTTGATCTGTTTTATAGACATGCTCTTGCTAATGGTATTTTCAACACAAGCAACACATTTATGAATAATAATAAATGAATGGCATTTTTTTATTAATGATAATAATACAAAAAATTTCAACGTTTGCATTCAAATCCCCTATTTTATTTTTCATACATCAAACAATTCCGCGTTTACACCACATAAAAAACAAATTGAGTGATGTGTTATATAATTCATTTTTTATCCAAATAACTCATACAATACAATAATTAATTACAAATTGAAATGGAATGATGTATTTGAAATTCAAACATCATACGATAAATAATTCAAATGATGATGTATTACAACGCTTTACTATTTTTATAACGCAAAAACAATTCGAATTTCAATTTAATTGCATTTTAATGTTAAATAATTATCCGAATTTACAATAATAAAAATTTTTATTTTTTGTCGAGAACAAAAATAATGTTTCCCGATTTTCTTGCAGTGGCGTCTTCAACCACATCAATTATATGAAGGTTTGTCTGTAATGCACTTCCATTTAAACTTGGTCTATATAAATTTATCATTGTTTTTACTAGCGATGTCAGCCGGTAGAAAAACCTATGCATGCATGCCAATAAATTTTTTGTCAAACCATTTACTATAAGACAAATGAATTCGCTATAAATCAGTTGTTTTTACTATTTTTACCAAGTCTATTTTAATAATTATCAATATATGAAAAAATCTTCTCTGGCGGTATCGTTGTTATTGTTATTGTTATTATTGTTATTATTATTATTATTGTTATTGTTATTATATTATTTGTTATTATTATTATTTATTATTATTATTATTATTTGTTATTAATATTATTATTTGTTATTATTACATCTAATTCGACACCATTGTTGCTATTTAATAGTTCGTTATTACTAGGGTTCTATTTGGAATAAGGTTTGTTCGAATTATTTGTTTCATTCGTCATATTACAATAGAAACTCTAACTGTTACTATTGCGTTTTTTATTATTATCTTTTTTTTTTTAGCAAATATATGTCTTTTTCTTTTATCATTTCCAAGTAATGCATTAAAATTCCAGACGTAAAGTGAATGTCAAGAGATTTTTTTTAGTCGGACAAGCCGTTTAAAAATTCCTTGGCCAGCTCATATCACTAATTATTATTACTATTTATATATTATAAGCCAATGAAGCAAATGTAGTGCTTCAGCTTTAGTCTTAATCAACTTTTATTGTTTAAAAGTTTTATCGCTATAAACACTCAACAAGATGGGTTCTTCATGGTTACATTTCAATTGATATACTGTCCTTTGGTGAAGATACAAGCTTAGCTTGTACTCGTAAACAATTTCCACACAGAGGACTTAGATTATCGCCATTACATGCAAAATATTCGCCAGTATATACAGTTCGCTCTCTCTATAACGTACCATTTGGATTATTACCGGAAAAAATGTCCGTTAGAAACAACTACTATTATTATATACGTGACATATAAATTGGACTCAAATTTCCCAGCCTGTTATAGAGCAAGGTCCGTTATGGAAATATCCATTATAGAGAGAGTTTCCATACAAGTACATTTATTTCTCCTCATAAAAACAACAACTTCATATTTTATTTTTTTCTTGGTTTAGCCAGATAGTCTTGACTTTTTATCTATTTCAGAACCTTCACCTATTTCCTCAGTTATTATACAAAAATTACTTGCATTATTATTAGCT